TATAATGTGATAATAATATATATAGATGACTGCATACATTTTATTACTGTAATATTAAATATATTTACTTATTATAGAAGTTGTGGAACAACCCTCAGAACTCGTGTCTCGTATTTTTAGTTTATCGATAAGATACCGGAAGTGCAAGTATTTACGTATTTTACTATTCACCCTAAATACGGATAACCTTTATTCGTCTCATAGTAACAAGGGTATAAACACACATAGTATTCGTTGTATAGAAACTTGACAAATAATATTATTTTTTATGACAAATGTAAGTTTTGTCTATAAATTATATGAATAAATTATTCTATCCTCTTTAAAAAATATACATTATACAAAATGCGATTCAATTATAGAGTGAAATGGATGTTGTATTTCTTGACAATACCGTGTACTATATTATATTATAGTATATACGTTACTGACAAATTGTATTATACCTAAGTATAATACTTAATATATAACTTATTATACTAATTATATTACAATACGTTATGCGCCTAGTACATTATTATAGCCATTATTATGCGGAATTACAAACCTATTATCCAGTAATTTACATAATATATAATATTATATACAAGTATGAACCATTATTACCAGACAATATAATATGATATAAACTTTACACCACATTAGGACATAATTATGGGTCTACAACCTACGGCCCATCAAGCTTTTCAAATCAGCCCAGTGATATTTAGAAAATATTGACACTTTTTAAGTATTATTAATTTTTCCATTAAATTGGAAATAATAAAATAAAAGGTGTTTAATTAATTTAATTTAATATAGTTATAATAATAAAATTATTCTCATCTTTCTTAATAATTGCATTACCTTTCTATCACTATCTAAACAATTTTCGTTCTCGATATCAAAATGTACTTATTTAAGATTCAGACCGCCACAAAAAAAAGGTTATAATTTATAAAACGTTCTGCACTAGACACTTATCAATCTACTAATTGGAATAAGTCTAATACTATTATTGCAGATTGATAGCAGTACACTTGCATAAAAAAATAAAATTACAAAATTAAAGAACTAAGGAGTGTATATAATTTTGGTAATATTAGGTAAGGATTTATAGCCTATACTTTACACGAATACTATACATATTCAAATACCAATAATAACAAAATACACTCAAGACATAATAATCAAAAATTTTTAAGCAAAATTGCCAACGTAGAAAAGATATATTTTGTTTTAATAATAATTAACCCGCGGCAACTTAGGCCATTGGGTGGTTTTTAACTGTGGGGGAGGTTTAACACGTGTGTTTGTTAGTTTGGCAACATTTTTTAGTGGGCCCCCGTAGGTATCTGCCATGACTGGGTGGGGGATGGCGGCGTCTTTCTCTAGACACCATGACCGAGAAGTGCGGCCCGTGGCCGGGTTTCGAACCGACGACGGTGAGCGTCGCAACCGACGGCATAGTTCCCTCGACAACTCCATCCTCCAAAGTTATATTATTATAACAGAAATATGATATTATAGAACCAAATTATGATTGTAGGTAGTATTTAAATAAAATATAATGCAAATCATTATATTGTATACAATAAGTATACACTTATGTAATATAAGTTGTTTTAGCATAAAATGAGAGTATTTTTTGTTGTAGGTACCTAATGTAAAACAATTTATAAAGTACAATACCTATTTACATTAAATATGAATTAAACTATAATTTATTTTATACTTTGACAGATTAATGATCTGCGATTTGCGGAGTGTACCTATATGTACTAGAAATATTACGTTCAATACAAATAGCAGCAACTATAATATTAAAATTTAATTAATTATATTTAATTATTTATTTGTATTTATATATACGTTGTAGTAACATACAACATAAATTAATAAAATATGAATTATGTAAACGGGAATTAATGCATTGTTAAAGTAACATTAAAAGACTAATCATTTATTGAACAAAACTAAAATTGTGGTAAAATTATTTATAAGACAATAACCAACGCACGTATCCTTACATGTAATTTTGAGTCTTAACTTCTAAACATTAAATATAAATTCCCTAATACTGCGAATATCAATATTTTAAGTAGGTATGTAGGACATTTAAAGAGGGGCTATATATTAAGTAAAAGACATTATAATGTAATGCGTTATATGTGTACCCTTATGGCCTTATATAATATATACATAATAATATATTCGTGTGTGTATATTGTATGTAAAATATCCAAAATATTTTCAAGAAAATATACCTATACTATATATTGCTTTTAGAGTGTTGTAAATAAATACATATATATTTCATAATCTATTACTAGCGTAGGTATCTATAGTGTAAATCATCATATTCAATATTTACAACGGTCCCCGATTAAACGTTTCCATTTAGAATAAACGACTAACTTAGATGTTAATTATAAGCTTGTTAACACTATTTACATATAAAATAATACCATAGGTACTTTATAAACTTGTGTATATTGTGTATCAATATCATACCATCGATTAAGGTGAACAACAAAATAATATTAAGCCATGTCAGTGGTGTATTTAAGGGAGGTCAGTGGGGCCAGGACCCCCCCCCCTTAGCTTCATAAATACCTGTATAAACATCTAATAAATATATTAATATATTCTGTATAGCGGAACACCTCCTTAAATGTATTTGAAAAATTAGCTGGACCCCCTCCATGAAAATTCCCAAATACGCCACATGATATTGCTCATGAAATTTTGATAAACAAGCTAAAGTACTGTATCTAATGTATACGATACAAATCAAAAACACTAAAATAGGGTGAGGCGGAAAGGTTCTTAGCACAGTATTTGGGTGGTCACTATACAATAATACAACTACTATTTTATAGTAGTATCGCTTACTTTTTTTTTACGATAAACGAAAAGATAATTCTCACTGAAGTACCGATAAGATCAAAAAATGAAGAATCACCAGTTAATAATAAAACGTACCCTTAAATTTTGTCATAATTGAATCCTAATAAAAAGTATATGCTATGTCTTAGCTAATGTGAAAATCGCACAGCAAATATTTTATGAGGTGTGATTTGTCATTACAGAATAGTTGGCTATCAAATAATGCGTTTGCATTGCTATTTGCGAATCGGTCAACAGCTTCAAAATAGCATTAATATTTTAAAACTGTGTACCTACTCATATGTGTATAGGTTTTGAAATAAAAATTAAATATAAAATTAAATAATTAATTTATAAACAGATAAATTATTATCTGTAGAGAAAGACTATTTTGAGAACATATACCTATTATAGGTATATAGGTATATAATATATATAGTATAACATTATTATTTAAAATTTAAAATAGTACGTTAAATTTTGTATCTTCAATATATTTTATTACATAATTAAAAGTTTTTTAAATTAATAAAAATTAAATTAAATCGATGGCGTAGCGCACAAGTGTGATAAGTGACATTTTTTTGAAAAATGAGTTAAGTGCATAATCAATTTAATCATACAATTCTGCACATTATGCCCAAACGTTGTAAGTGAATAGTTCATTATTTACTCCGATAGACGTCGTACAGTTCGTTACATTTTTGAATTTGTTATGACATCTCAAACTTAAAAATCGTTCTCCTGAACAATTACGAAAATGTCACTTATCACACTTGTGCGCTACGCCATCGAAATATTCATTAAAAAGAAAAAAATAACACAATTTAGTCTCACGATATTAAATTCAAACTTCAAAGTATCACCTAATAATTTATTATTATTATTTTTTTTTGGTTTTAAGTTTATATTTGTAATACACAATCTGCAAATTATTTACTTTTTTATATAAATAAATTTTAACAAAATAATTATAAAATAAAAAATATTTTATTTAATTATAAGGTCATATTATTTTCTGCATATTCAGAAAACTGGTTTTTAATCACATTATTTAGATTATTTTTATTGCTATAATATGGTGTATATTATATTATATAATATGTTTATAATATTGAACGTCAAATCGTTATAGCTGTTAAATAAAAAAAAACTTTACACACAATTACTTCAACTTCATTTTACTTATATACTAATCAATCATTGTGTATCTTGTACACCTAAGTATTTATTATTCTTAAAATATGCAAATATAACATAATGACTGAATATACTAAATTTATATGTCCATTATATTCAAAACGGTACAATCTAAATAATTAATTTAAAAAATGTATTAAGTTTTAGATAATTGTTTGACAGTGGTAGAATAGAAAGCACAAAAAGGTCACACAATAACCATAAACTAGCAATGACTTACACCGAAATAGGTGTACGCTACAGCCAATCCAATTTGTTTGGTGAATTCGAGCAATACTTTTTTATGTGTTGGTTTAGTTTGATATACTGAAATTACAGTTTTATTAGGTCATTGAGTAATCTTCCTAACAAATCGATAATGTCATTGTTAAGGCAATCGCCCCAAGGGATATTCCGAGTCAACGTCACGCTATTAACTAGCGTTCTTCTCGACACTCTTCATCTTGCACATACACTACCATTTTACATAGCACTGGAAAAATAAACCTTTCAAACGATTTCTAATTTTCGTACCGATGGGACTCTAGATACCAGCGATATATTAGTTAAAACGCGTATAGATTCCAAAATCAGAATAATTTCTGAAAATATATGACCGTAAATTTGTTTGGGGTTTTATATGTTTAAAATAAATTGTTATGCAAGTATTCATACAAATAAATGAAAAGCATAACTATGAATACTGGCTATTATAACAATGAAATAATATTTATTTTTTTTCGTAAAAAGTTTAGCCTTGCACCAACTACCTATAGTAGTTGTCTTGTAGTCCAAAACCGGAATTCGTAAAATGAAAGAAAACGACACATTAAAATCCTGGACTTTTATTTTAAATCTATGACTAGAAATGATAATAAAATAAAAACAATGAGTACGCCATTGTCTGTTTGTAATGAGAATTGTCAGAAAATACAAAAATAAAATGGAGGATAATGGCACTCAAAGACATTGTTATTCGAAAGCGGTCCGAGAACCATGTCGAAAGACAACCAGAAAATCCCAACAAGTCCGCTGGAAATTTGGCGCGTGTCCATCCTGGTTCCACGAGTGTCCCTTTGGAGGGCTGTCGTCGACGACCCCGTACCAAAATAACGTTATTCGAACGAAAATTGCGAAACTTTTTAATTTCCAAATGCACTCTCTTAAGGCTTAAAAAAAATCTACTTGGGAGCAATCCAAATCGCCCTGGGCTCAATAACAGCGAAAAGCGAAAAGTGGCCCCACAACAACAACTACAGTAGATACATATTACCTACAGCCCCGACTGTATACCTGCTCATTGCAGCCCATGGAAACCGTTTGCAAGGACTGCGTAAGCATCGTATAATACGCGTATTTACGGGATTATTATTATTATTATTATTCCCCGTCAACCGTAGGTAATGTAAAATCTCATTACACGCTAGGACAGCCTGCGATGTAACTATCAACGTCACGGAATATTTTCGAGTTCTCGTCTCTGGAGGCGGTGAAGCAAACGCAATCGCTTGAATGTATAGGTCTTCCGTGTTGGTCCGTAAAACGCACGCACTTTCGTGTGCGTGCGTGCTTGTTTATTTGTGTGTTTGTTTATGTTTGTGTGTGTATGTGTGTGTGTGTGTGTGTGTGCAAGCACGGATTATTTGTGTATGCTGTGTTAATTTTTACGATATCATGGGGTAGTATTATAGCAAGGTAATAAATGTATAATAGATTATAATCCATTTCTCACGGATTAAAACATAATTTCCAGCTACTGCAGCCGTTTGTCCTATAAAACAGGAAATCCAATCCAGAGATGGGTACCTAATATACAACCTACCTAATACAAAAATGAGTTAAATCGACGTTGCAAGGGGCATAAAAGCAACACGTCTCTGTTGTAGTATTTTCACTGATATAACATATTAAAATATAATCCTATTGGACCAATAAATGAGAGTAAATTTAGTTTTGCTTCTCCGTGGGAATTATTAAATAAATACTATAGGTATAAATCATTAAACAAATTAAACAAAAATACCCTAAACTCTGTAACATCAGGAGAAAAAATTGTTTTATTTCTTTCAATCCAGTGTTTTGGACATAAAATGTATTAATTATTCATATTAAATAATTTATTAGTTATTACTAATTTTGTAGGGCTTTTTTAACGGGTTTTCCGTCTGAAATGTCTACATGAAACATCAATTAAAAGGAGATATTATAACTACGCTAATTATTAATTAACCATTTAGGAGATGATTCGACCGTTTCATCAATATTATAATTTTTAGGATTTAAGATTATTTCGTATAGTTTACATAGATTTTATTGGATAGAGAATGATTTGGCTATTATCTCATGGCATGCCTATTTTTTTTCGGAGTTACGTCTTTTGCTACATAGGCTGGAGATAAATATAATAGCAATAACAATATGATATTATAATACAAATATTATTTATTTAATAAAAAAATCTTTTAAATTGTCTTTCTCAATCTCAATTCTTAATGACAATGTTTAAGCTTATCATATGGCGTGTACACTATTATTCCTTTCTATAAGGGGTCTCATTTTTAAAAAAAAAACAGAAGTTTTTATCTTTACAGGACACTTCCTAAGTAGTATAAAAAATCTCAAGAATTTGAAAATATAAAATAAGAAGGTAAAGGTATAATTAAAAATTCTAAAAATTAGATTTTGAATAACTGCTATATTTAAGATGGAACAGGGGATATTCACTTGGTGGATCACTCTGTATATATATATATATATATTATTATGTATGATATAATATACATATATAAGTTTTTAAGTGGGAACTTAAGTAAGTGCCACTTTCCATCAAACACACATAATTAAATGTTTGGATAAACTATTTTTACATTTCACGAATGGCCGTCGATCAAATTGTTGATAATATAAATTTATAATCTTAATGTAATCTCGTGAAAAAAAAAACTATACAAAGAATAATCAAATGTATTCATACAATATGAAAAAAAAATGAATCAATACCACGTACAGCAAATGAAAAACAAGAATAGTAATAAGAAAATAAACTTGTTTATACTGTTTTTTTTATTTTTCAGATCTGTTCTCACAAAAACCAAATTAATTATAACTTGAATGGTAAAAGATGAAAAGAAGAATCAATACTCTTAATATTATTCATACAGTGTATACCTATTTAACAAAAAATATATTCACTATCTTCAGATAATAAACATAAAACAAACGGTAAAATTGTTTTTCACTTGAAGTTTTAAATCAAGTATTGATACTAAAAATAAAGTGAGAAGAAAGCGGAATACATGTTATATTAAAACAAAGGCAACATTATACAAACAAAAAATGAATACCTAGCGATTATGTCACATATAAACTTATTTATACAGACTTCAAATTGAATCATTGTAAGTACCTATCGGCTATATTACACTGGTGTACCTACTCGCCTATAATAGTATATGATCCTAATTATATGTATTTGCATAATATAACATTAATTGATTAATAATATAGGTACAACCGAAATCGAGTTCAATGCACATAAATAAGATAACAAGGATCATTTTGGAAAACTATTATTGGAAATAAACTCATTACTACTATATAATTAAACCCGAAACCACATACATCTTGTAGTTAGGTACTATATACATTATACATAATTATAGAAACTAAGAGAACATCAGTAATTTAATGTTCGATTAGGAAATCGCGTAAACTTAATGAGCACAAAACACATAGATAAACTTAACCATATCTGGCCAATAAAAGAAATTCGATTGGATAAATATTCTGCACATTAAACGACATATTATACACGAACACAAAACATATTACAATTTCAGCAAATTCAGCACCATTATAATTTACGGAACGGCACGTGCAGAAAACGACAGGGCGTATCAAGTAAAATACGATACGCCAGACCAACATAAAAGTAAAATATTCATTGAAAATTGTTTTTGAAAAACCAGTGAAAATGTTAACCACATATTATTGCAGATACTAAAGTGTCCGATTCGCAAAGAAAATTGGTTAATGATGTGGTTGTATTTTGTAACACGTTTGACTTTGCCTAAGTATATACTTTGTTACAAGGATAACTGGTTGCGAATACAGTTTAAAAGTACCCACAGACTTAGAGATGATGACGAGCATCTGTGAGGAAAGATGAGACGCCACGTGCACGCAACGGCGCAGTAGTACATTTCCACGGCGCTATACCTAACACACGGCGTTATGAGTCATATTATTGTATTAATACAGTATAGTCCCACAGTGAGATAACATCTGTTATAAATATTTCTATAAGTACAATATACTTACAGTATATTACGCGCGCGCTATTACCCGTGCAATGAATAATATTGTAGTACGCAATAGATTATGCCCAAAAATAGGTTTTTAGTTTAATTGATATAACATAATATATTACAGTGGCGTCATTTGGGGGAAGGCCATTGGGGCCACTGGGGCAACCTTAAGTCAGCACATTTACCACACGCCCCCCATCCCCCTTTTACCACTATGACACTAATACACTATGCTATGAGAATCTGAGTGAAAAAAATGTGAAGTCGGAAAAGTAGTGAAAAATTGCCCTAGTTTAATAAAAACTGAAATGACGCCACTGATATATTATTATTATTACTATACGCTGCGGTACTGACCTGTGCGGGAACGGTAATTACCCATCGAGGATGCCGGCCGATCCCGGTGGCGGCCAGACACGTGGCGAACGGAAACATCGGCCCGGCTGCAGTGGCGATAACGCCGACTGATACGGTCGGCGTGTGAACGCAGTGTGTGTTGGTTTGTAATAGTGTGCGTCGCGTGTATACGTTTGTTTGCGTACAAGACGTGATGGTATACTTACCCGCGCGTGTGTAGATTTAAAACGCACCCCGACGGGGGTTTCTCGATGTCGGGAGGGCCGAGCGGCGGTAACCGATCGCATGCGCTTCTAAATAGGTCACCGAACACGACTTTGCCCCGTGCACGCCGTCGCCCAACACCACTGGTGTAGTACTTGTACGCGTACTACACCTAGCCCGCGTACATTATAATATCATTATATGGGTGAGTGGGTTGTACTCAAAATATATACGAACAGTTTTCTCGTCTGCGCCGTATGTAGGTACAGGGAGTCTACGGTCGCGGTCGACTGAATACCGTAACAATAATAATTAATATTATAGAAATAATATAACATTAACAAAACACGCTCGTCGGCGAGGAGACAGAGCATGCATGAATAATATGCTATCGTATCAGCAGACATAACATAAACATTACCTACCTATAATATCATAATCTGTGAAGTTAAAACAACGAAATCAAATGCCGATTGCTGCAATATTATTATAACGATATCAGTGTGCGTACCATGTATGTAATATACATTACAGTGTAGGTACACACACGCACGGCGCGGGTGACCCAGTTCATCGCCGCCGCCGTCGGGTCGCGGACCCCTTACAGCCCCCGTCCGCGCGCTTTACGCGGAGTGAGGTTAATGCACTGTTGGCGTACCGCCGTCGCTGCCGCCGCCGCCGCCGCATGCAGCCGCTCCGCCAACGCATTATCGATTCCACCGGAGCACATCCCCTCCGCGCAGACACCCCCGTCCAAGCACGGGCACCCACCCACGCTCCACTCGCCGCCACGTCCGGGTCACGTATACACGGCACTCGCGATCGCGCCAGCGCCTTCCCAACCCTTCAAAACTCGACCGTCCCTCCAACCTCACACCCGCCCTATCGCAGAACTCGACGAACACGCCGGAACCCACACGCCAACGATTCTCTCCGACCACCACCTCAACGCCGCGCGACGACGAGAGAACATACGGGAAATGGACACGCGAGACGGTCTGACGTAATTCACAGCGAGACAACAGCCGCCGCCGCGATCGTTTGTAGGGTGTTTGCGACGATCGGAAGAGCGCACCGTCACCGTCGCGCGTAGTGTGTATCTGGGTGGGTGGGGGTCGCGGGCTGTCACGTGTTCTACGCGAAACCGGACACGTGAGTATGTGCTGCAGGACGCGACAAGCGCGCGCGCACACTCACGCCGGCCGGTGATGTGCACGCGCGGAGTCGGTTGCTGTCGAGCGGGGTTCGCGGGTAACGCGCGTGCTTTTCGCGCGGCGCGGCGGCGGTTCGACGAGTGTGTAGAATGTATAGGTATTCCGCCCCGACCGGCGACCACGATACTGAGGAATATTCTCTAGGCGGCTAGGATAGACCGTCTCGACTAGGACCGCAGT